AGCGATTCCCCCACCTCAGCCTCCCAGACACCGGGATTACAGGCGTGAGAAACTGCTCCTGGCTGGTGTCAGCTTATCTGGAAAGCTGGTATTGAGGAATCTCTTCAGTAATCACAATAGTGAAGCGTACCTTTAATAGTGTCTAAAGAGGCTTTATTTTGACATGTCTACTATAAGTTTCTGTTTCTGACCTATAGTTTATAGCAGGTGACTTTAGGCCAGTGTGAGGCAAAAACAGAAACTGGCCATTGGAATAAAGCTAAATGGCTCTGACTGGTTTATGATAATAATATTATATGGAGCAGAAGCAACACATAACCATTTCCTAAGGATTCAGTTAGTGATACCCCAACACTAAAATATTTGGGCACTGAGAATATTGACAGCTCTCCAGGCTCTTTTAATTCATCCCGTAAAATGTTTGTTAAGATTATTGTCAAATGAGAGGAGTACTACATTTAATTTAATTTATTTATTTAATTAATTTATTTAAAGACAAGGTTTTGCTCTGTCACCCAGGCTAGAGTGCAGTGGTGTGATCTTGGCTCACTGTAACCTCCGCCTCCCGGGTTCAAGCAGTTCTCCTGCCTCAGCCGTTCAGGGATTATAGGTGTGTGCCAACACACTTGGCTAGTTTTTGTGTTTTTAGTAGAGACGGTTTTGCCACGTTGGTCAGGCTGGTCTCGAACACCTGGCCTCAGGTGATCCACCCACCTTGGCCTCCCAAAGTGCTAGGATTACAGGTGAGAGCCACAGCACCTGGCTGAATACTGTATTTTCATTTTAAACATAAAACAAGTTTAAAAAATATATTTGTCAAAAGATATGCCAGTCTTTGTAATAGATGTGAGTATCCATCTATTGATCTTGAAAGAAGTTGCTAAAAAATTCCTATTAATAATTTTGTATACAATTCCCTAGGGAGATTGAACTTCCCTATTTGATTTATCATATTGTGGATTTAATAAATACAAGCGCTCTAATCATAATGCTAAGCTAATTAAAAGCATAGAGAATACCGGACATTCCCAGTCATGTCTGGCTTCCCTCCTTCCTGTAGTGAGGTAACAAGTCTAGTGTTGGCCACTTGTTATCTGGGGAGTTCCACAGGTAGCTGAGATGTATAGAACAGTGAGAGCTTTATTCTTTCAAATTTGGGAAAAGGCAGTTTGAGAAAGAGTTGTCAGAGGTGATTTGATATAAGCATAAGTTATTAGGTGTATAAAGACAAGACATGGTAATATACTTGGTTTAGAATGACGATATTTAAAATAAACACAGCAGCAAATAATTAAGAACCCGAGACTTTTCAGAAGTAGACTTTTGTTTAATGGGATTCAAAAGCATCACAAAAAGCACCAAAAATTAACCAGCTCTCAAGTGATATTTTGGTGCAGTAAGGAACCTCTCTTATCCAGGTACAGAATTACATTTGACATATTCTTTATCACAAAGCAGTTTTCTTTGGAATTATTAATTTTTTCCTCTTACAGTGTATATGTTGTTTTACTTTGTTTGAAAATGTTAAGATACCTTTGTGTGTGTGTGAGTGAGTGTGTGTGTGTGTGTGTGTGTGTGTATTGAGATATACACAAAACCAGCACATTTAAATCTTTTCACTTTAAAAGAGACTAAACTTTATCAGCACATTCAGGAAGACAATACCCATACAACATTGATTGATCATCTTAATAAAACTGGAACATTTCTCTTGATGAACTAACAGAACACATCAATTATCTTGAACACAGATTCATACTTGCAAATGGTATCGCTTTGCAATTTGTATCTAGTATAGCCCCAGCCTCACAGAGTCATTATTCTTCCTTCAGAGACCCAGAGAAAACCTGAAACCATTAGTGACCAGCACTACGAGTGGATTGTCAGGGAAATTCCAAAGGCAGTCAGATGTGAGACACCCTGCCAGCTCTGTTTTTGGGAACACATCCCTTGTCTCTTCATGCCCCCTAAAGTGGTGAGAGGAAGCAGTACCAGCAAGGCCCCCGGGTGTCTGTAGGTCCTTCTCAGCCTGTTAATCCTCTGAGCCATTCCACTATGTATACCGGGAAGAGGCATGGGAGAGTATCTTGGTGTTTTTGTGTTTTCTGGCTTTGTGAATTTCATCTTCTTAGAAATTGTCCAGATCCCCCAAAGATTATTCACTATTTAACGAAATGAAATATGAGTTCAGGGTCTTCAAGTTAATAAGGAGCTTGGAAACTATATTCGATCTGATTCACTATGGCGAAACAATTACTAATGGTATTATGAAATGATATTTTGATAATTTTAGTCAGATAGATATGGAGAATAATGAAGTGTACAGTTATATCAAATACCAAAGAACAAACCCTTTTAGACATTATAGTTAAATTTATCTGAGCACACAATATTTACCTTGTCATAATGTTAAATGTTGGCCACGAAAACCAGTAACGAAAATTTGAGAGTTTTCAACTAATTAGGCTTTTCATGAGAACATAACCAAAGTTTGTACATAATATAAAAAATTATGCTTAGAGGGAGAAGACATAGCTATTTTTTTTTTTCTTTTTTTTGAGATGGAGTTTCGCTCTTGTTACCCAGGCTGGAGTGCAATGGCGCGATCTTGGCTCACCGCAACCTCCGCCTCCTGGGTTCAGGCAATTCTCCTGCCTCAGCCTCCTGAGTAGCTGAGATTACAGGCACGCGCCACCACACCCAGCTAATTTTTTGTATTTTTAGTAGAGACGGGGTTTCACCATGTTGACCAGGATGGTCTCGATCTCTCAACCTCGTGATCCACCCGCCTCGGCCTCCCAAAGTGCTGGGATTACAGGCTTGAGCCACCGCGCCCGGCCGACATAGCTATTTTTTAAATCGAAGTTATCAAACCTGTCTGATTTGCCTCAGGATTTGCCTTAATTGGGGCTATCATATAATATGCCCTTAGTTACCACAGGAGAGTTTTTATTGATGTATTTTTCTGATCACCAATTGTCATTCAACAGAGCAGCCAGTTCTGCTGGAAGAAGGGACCCCTCCTTTGTTTTAAGAGGGAGGTTGTGCGATGCATGGTGTAAAGATGAAGGGAAGTAAGAGAAGAGGCCAGCAGGTGCGGGAGAGAGGGAGAACAGGTGTGAGGGAAGAGTTTGCAGAACATGGCAGAGGCCTGAAGTCACCATCTCAGGGTCAGAAGGGAAAACACAGGGTCTGCACAGGGCTGGGTGTTGTGTCCATCGGTGATCGCGTGCATGAAGTGAGATGCATTTCTTGACTGTGGTCGTTTCTCCAGGGTCACTCAGCCTCTTGTGGGCAGGCATGGAGTGGGCAGGTGACAGAGTTCATCCAGAATAGAGGTTTTGCCAGGTGGTACAGGAGGTGGGCAAAGGAATTGAAGGCATTTGCAAAATAAGTGATTATAAAGTGAGTTCATGTAATTCAGGTTGGCCAAAGAGCACAGCAGCTAGAAAGGGGCAGAGGGACCAAAGTGGGGGTAGTGGCAGTGAGTTAGGGATGAGGGCAAAGACCAGAATGGCCGGGTGGGCACAGGGTTAGTGGTGTGGACCTGGGAGACTCATGGATCGTGCTAAGAACTGGGGTAGTCCAGGTGTGGTGGCTCACACCTGTAATCCCGGCACTTTGGGAGGCCGAGAGGGTGGGCGGATCACAGGTCAGGAGATGGAGACCATCCTGTCCAACATGGTGAAACCCCATCTCTACTAAAACTAGAAAAATTAGCTGGGTAAGGTGGCGTGTGCCTGTAGTCCCAGCTACTCAGGAGGCTGAGGCATGAGAATCACTTGAACCCAGGAGGCGGAGGTTGCAGTGAGCAGAGATCGTGGTACTGCACTCCAGTGTGGCAACATAGTGAGACTCTGTCTCAAAAAAAAAAGAGAAAGAACTCGGGTACAGAGAAAATTGAGAGCCAAGAGCAAGTCTTCAGTGAATGGGGGCATGTTTCCAGAATGTCCACAGGTGACAGAGAGAAAAAGGGGAAAGGCTCGTGAAGCTGGATGACGTGGGCCTCCAGCAGAAGGGTCATGGTTGGAAGCAGCGATGGGGCCCAGTCCCCACCCGCCTGCCCCTGCAGTCAGAGGACTTAAGGAAGAAATGGCCTTTCGTCCAGAGGCCAGCAGAGGCAGCAGGGATTTAGTTAGAATCAGGTGATGAGGGGACTCTTGCCAGCAGAGTAGATAGAGCAAGTTTTACTCTGGGTAGCCCAGTGGGACCAGTCCTCGCCCAGTGGTGGAGCAGCACCATGGTGTCCTGATTTGGGCCAGTGGTGAGTGGGCAGTACTAAGCATTGGCTTGGTAAAACCAGTCTGCCCTCCGCTGAAGCATTAGTACTGAGTCATTCAGTTCTTTCAGCTGATGCCTGTTCAACACCTCCTGTGTGCCAGGCCCCTAGCAGCCTTCGGGATGGGAAGAGGCATCAGACGCAGCTGCCCTCTGCTGTGGGGCACTGGGTTTCCGTGAGGGGCCCCTGAGAAAATACAGTACTCAGCCAGGTGCAGTGGCTCCGAAGGAGTTCTGCTGTTTAAAAACAAAACAAAACAAAACAGAATGTGGCCTGGGTAAGGTGGCTCACGTCTGTTATTCCAGCACTTTGGGAGGCCGAGGCCAGTGGATCACCTGAGGTCAGGAGTTTGAGACCATCCTGGCCAACATGGTGAAACCCCATCTCTACTAAAAATACAAAAATTAGCCGGGTCTGGTGGCACGTGCTTGTAATTCCAGCTACTTGGGAGGCTGAGGCAGGAAAATCACTTGAACCCAGGTGGTGAAGGTTGCAGCGAGCCGAGGTTGCACCATTGTAGGCCACCCTGGGCGACAAGAGTGAAACTCTGTCTCAAAAAGAAAAAACAAACAAAAAAATAAGAAAATGAAAACCACTGGTCTAAGATAATCTGCTAGAGTCTTAAGAGGAAGACGTCATTCTTCCTTGCAAGGCCCACTTTCCTTTTTCGGAACTAAACCCATGCTGCCTCTTGTTTTTGCCCGTCCCTGCCCATTTCCAGAGTTTGGCGTGTACTGCAGCCACTGCCGGAGCGAGGTCCGTGGCACGCAGTGTGCCATCTGCAAAGGCTTCACGTTCCAGTGTGCCATCTGCCACGTGGCTGTGCGCGGATCGTCCAATTTCTGCCTGACCTGCGGACACGGTGGCCACACCAGCCACATGATGGAGTGGTTTCGAACCCAGGAGGTGTGTCCCACTGGGTGTGGGTGCCACTGCCTGCTTGAAAGCACATTCTGACCCTACAGACCATGGGTGTTGTCTGAAATCCCAGAGGACCCATAAATGCCGGTGACAAGCTGCTGCCAGGGGCAAGGCTCCAGAACCAGGGTTCATCCCCAGTGAGACGGGAGCATGGTTCCCCAGGATGTGGAGCATCAGCTCCTGGCAGGCCTCTGCCTTCTCTTCTGTTTGCTGCCTGGCGTGGATGTCAGTGTGGGAAGATGAGGGCAGACGTGGGCAGAAGTGCAGAGCTGTGCTTTGTGTGTCGTCTCTGTCGGCTCAGCTACCAAGATGGAAGTTTTCATGGAGAAAAGCCCCGGTTCCAGGGCTGATGTTCCCCTTCAAGGTGTTAGCCTTAAAACACCAAGCGGCATTCTCCTGATGCCAATGTGGAGACCAGAGTCAGATGGAAAAATGGTCCCCTGAGCCCGAGGACAGTGGGTAGGAATTTAATCAACAAGTGTGCCTAAGGCATCCTGGCTTTAGAACCTGGTACATTTAATGAGTTGATGGACCGTGGCCTTCTAAAATATGATACTTCAATTGTAAATATGCAGTGTACTTAGGGATTCTTAAGATGTATTTTTTTGTATATTATTTCTCCTCCAGCTGCTATTCCTTGGCTAATAAAATTCTAGTAATTATTTGAAAAAAAAAAAAAAAAAAGAATGTTAAACAACATTTTGGTGAATCATTTTTTTACCTACTTCTAATTGAAGGTAGCTATTTTGAATAGGACCAAAGACAGTGCTCTGATTTTTAAAGGAACTGCTCATTTACTTTTGTCATCTGACAGGAGAAAATAGAATTTGACATTTAAGGTTCTTCCCGGCCCCTAGTGTCTTCTTACTTCTTCTAGCAAAAGGAGGACGAGATTGCTGTGCAGCCTGGATAGCAGAGTCTCCCTTGGGCGGGTGCTGTGGCTCATGCCTGTAATCCCAGCACTTTGGGAGGCAAAGGTGGGAGGATCACTTGAGCTCAGGAGTTCGAGACCACCCGGGGCAAAATAAAGAGACCCCATCTCTGTAAAAAGTAAAAAATAGGTCAGGTGTGGTGGCTCATGCCTATAATCCCAGCACTTTGGGAGGCTGAGGTGGGAGGATCACCTGAGGTCAGGAGTTCGAGACCAGCCTGGGCAACATAAGGAGACCCCCCCCACAATCTCTACAAAAAAATTAAAAAATAGGCTGGGCATGGTGGTGGACACCTGTAATCCCAGGTGCTTGGGAGGATGAAGCAGGAGAGTCACTTGAACCTGGGAGGCAGAGGTTACAGTGAGCCGAGATTATACCATTGCACTCCACCTTGGCCAGCAAGAGTGAGACTCCATCTCAAAATAAATAAATAAACAAAAATAAATTTTAAAATAGGCAGGTTCAACCTCCTGGGGGCTCAAGTGATCCTCCCACTTCAGCCTCCTGGGTAGCTGGGACTACAGGTACGCACCACCACATTCAGCTAATTTTTTTGTGGAGGTGGAGTTTCACTACGTTGCCCAGGCTGGGCTCAAGTGATCCACCCTCTAGGGCTTCCCAAAATGCTGGAATTATAGGTGTGGGACATTAATTCTCTATTTGATGAAAAACGTTTATAAATAAAATTTGGGGAAGGACCTTGGAAATTCTCCTTGCCAAAAAGCTTACGGTGCGACAATTATATTAATGGCCTAAAGGAAACTCTTACTACTTAAGTCTTCCTTAATTCCCATTTCCTTCATTTAGGTTATGAAGTAACATGCAAAGTATCTTGCAGCTAGAACTGGGTAAGTTCATGTTAAAACTTATTTGCAGCCGGGCGCGGTGGCTCAAGCCTGTAATCCCAGCACTTTGGGAGGCCGAGGCGGGTGGATCACGAGGTCAAGAGATCCAGACCATCCTGGTCAACATGGTGAAACCCCGTCTCTACTAAAAAAAAAATACAAAAAATTAGCTGGGCATGGTGGTGCATGCCTGTAATCCCAGCTACTCAGGAGGCTGAGGCAGGAGAATTACCTGAACCCAGGAGGCAGAGGTTGCGGTGAGCCGAGATCGTGCCATTACACTCCAACCTGGGTAACAAGAACGAAACTCCGTCAAAAAAAAACAAAAAAAAACAAAACAAAACAACAAAAAAAACTTATTTGCAGACAGATCAAGACTTCAACAGACAAAAAGATATTTTTACTACAATTGTTAATTAAAAAAAAGCTATATCTTTATTAAACATTTATTACTTACTGATAAAAACAAAAACAAAAACAAAACAAAAAAAACAACAGCCAGGTATGGTGGCATATGCCTGTGGTTGCAGCTACTTGCGGGGCCGAGGTGGGAGGATCACTGGAGTCCAGGAGTTCGAGGCTGCAGTGAGCCACGATTGCACCGCTACACTCCAGCTTGGCCAACAGAGTGAGACCCTGTCTCAAAAACCAGTCTTCCTAGCCTGGACTGAGTTCTAGTAAGTTCCCTCACTCTTCCTTTGGGCTCCTTCACAAACTTCCTGTGTTTGTGTTCTGAGTAGTTAGAACACCTTGTCCGCAAATTCTTCAGAATTATTTTCTTTTTTTAAGTTTAATTTTTTAATTTTTTCTTTTTTTTAGAGAGATATAGGGTCTCACTCTTTCGCCCAGACTGAAAAGTGGTGATGAAGTCCTAACTCTGTAGCCTCTATTGCCCGAGCTCAAGTGATCCTCCCACCTCAGCCTCCTGAGTAGCTGCTGCTATCGGTGTGCAACTACCACACCTGGCTAATTTCAGAATGACTTTCAACTTCACATTTTCTATGTGCCAGTGAAAAGAAATTTTCTTTTTTATTTCTATTGAAATATCTATTTCTGTTTGTTAGAATGTTGCAGTTCCAAGTTGATTAACTTAGGGAATAGAACCGGTCCCATATCATGCCACTGCACTCCAGCCTAGCGCCTGGCAACAGAGCAAGACTCTGTCTCCAAAAAAAAAAAAAAAAAAGAACCGGTCCCATAATATGAGAGTATTGTGTATTAGTGTGTTTCAAACTACAGGTCAGGACACGAGTGGATTGTGACATTGATCTAGTGTGTAAAGCCAGGATCTAAAAAAATGAAACCGCATAGAAGACAAATGATCAAAATGTACTATACATAGGAAAATGTTGTTTTGTGTAACTTATGAGTGTGTAGCATGCATGTGCACAGGTGGACACTGGATCACAGTGTAAGCTCACTTCTTACTGAAAGTCGTGGTGAAAAGCATTTTCAGAACACTGTTTTGGATGAAGCTTATGCCTCGTCCCCTGTGTTACTGGGCACAAAACTTCATGATGTAAGAAAAGAACTTAGATCCTGTGCAGTGGGAACAGAGGTTGAGTGCTGGGCTCTGGTCCGAGGTAAGGTGCCAACGTCTCAGTACAGTGAGCACCGGGGTCCAGTGGGAGGACCCCCGGAGGAGGCCCTGCCAGGAATTTGTGCACACAAGTTCTTTTGTAATGGTGATCACAGAATAGGTTGACTGATTTACACAGAGGGAAAGGATCTGTTGTGTTCCTCAGTGAAATTACGCCATTTGCAGAGAACAATCTTTTCCTGTTCCCCACCGCTCAGGCTAATAAAAAAATCTGTCCCTATCTGTCCCCATCACGAATGAGATGTTTTTCTAGTTTTAGTTTATTGTTGGAGGAACATTGGCTTTCACAAATGAAAAACCTTAATAATGGGTGTGAAGAAATTTCAAGTTTAAAATATTACATAATGTCTTCCTTCAAGATGGAAATTCCTTTTGAATTTCCAGGTTACCAGAACAAAAGTCTAATATCTTAAAAATGTTCACATTTGGTAACATGTTGGTTGTCTGGATGTAGGCTGTGGCCGATATCCTCTCTGCCACAGAATAGATGATGATTCTCTCTGCCTCAGTCTTTGTTTGTTTGGTTTTAAATGCAATACAAGGCCAAGCGGGGTGGCTCACACCTGTAATCCCAGCAGTTTGGGAGGCCAAGGCAGGTGGATCACCTGAGGTCAGAAGTTCGAGACCAGCCTGGCCAACATGGCGAAACCCTGTCTTTACTAAAAATACAAAAATTTTCCGGGTTTGGTGGTGGGTGCCTGTAATCCCATCTACTCAGAAGGCTGAGGCAGGAGAATTGCTTAAACCTGGAGGCAGAGGTTGCAGTGAGCTGAGATCGTACCACTGCACTCTAGCCTGGGCAACAGAGCAACTTAGTCTCAAAAAACATAAATGAATAAAAGCAATACAAGCTGTGTTTGAAAGTACCTTTGTACTTGGCTAGGAAAACAGGCCCAGCAGTGTTATTTGTACACCAGCAACAAAAGGTTGCTCAAGCAGGCTACTGAAAAGAATGGGGGAAGGGCAAGCTTCAGGGCAAACCAGGTTGACTCTTTGTCCCTGTCCCTAACCCAAGACACAAATGGTATAATGCTTTCCTTGGCAATGTCACATACGTAGAATCAATGTTGCTTTAATAGTTGTTTTTTTTTTTTTCTTTGAGATGAAGTCTCGCTCTCTCTGTAGCCCAGCTGGAGTACAGTAGTGTGATCTTGGCTCACTGCAATCTCTTTCTCCCAGGTTCAAGTGATTCTTCTGCCTCAGTCTCCTGCGTAGCTGGGATTACAGGTGTATTCCACCACGCCCAGCTATTTTTTTGGGTTTGTAGTAGAGACGGGATTTTACCATGTTGGCCAGGCTGGTCTTGAACTCCTGACCTCAAGTGAACTGCCCACCTTGGCCTCCCAAAGTGCTGGGATTACAAATGTGAGACACCATGCCTGGCCAACAATTTTTAAAAATTTAATATAAAAATGCTTTCAGTCTGAAGACGCCAAGTTCACCTGCTGGGAGCTCCTTCCCTTACTCAGGGGTTCCCTGGGTGGCTGGTAGGATTGAGGAGAAAGCCCGCTCCTTTTTAGTGGTTTAGTGCTGCAGGAACTAAGGAGAAGACCTAGGCTGTGGCCATCCTAAAGGGTCTGGGCTCTGTCGCCCAGGCTGGAGTGCAGTGGCACACGCGGTCTCTGTTCACTGCAACCTCCATCTTCCAAGTTCAAGCGATTCCCATGCCTTAGCCTCCTGAGTAGTTGGGATTATAGGCGTGCGCCACCACACCTGGCTAATTTTTTTTGTATTTTTAGGAGAGATACGGTTTCACCATGTTGCCCAGCCTGGTCTCTAACACCTGACCTCAAGGGGTCCACCTGCCTTGGCCTCCCAAAGTGCTGGAATTGCAGGTGTGAGCCACCATGCCTGGTCCCTAAACAGTTTCTTAAAGGGCTGATTTTGCTAATTGCAGCAAAATAGTTCAGCCAACAGGGTGACAAATCACACCCTCTACTTTATGCCTCACCTTTGCATGCCACCCTCCAGGTGGGACCAGCCGCGGGGTGTGAGGCACACTCGGTGGTGGGGTCCGGGCGTGTGGGAAACACACCTGAGTTTCTACATCTTCTTCGAATCTAATGGCCTTGTCCATATCAGAACTAAATCTACCATTCTGTCATATTGGTGAGTTTATGTCACCACAATATCACTAATTTAGTATTTCTTCCTCAAATCTGAGAAGGTGTGGCGCTACTCATCAAGTATTGGACATTAGAATGGACACTTGGGTAAAGATGAACCATACCAAATGTGTTTTCTGACCTGCTGGAGGCGGAGTCTGCTAGGAAACCTAAGTTGTTTTTTTTTTTTTTTTTGAGACGGAGTCTTCCTCTGTCTCCCTGGCGGGAGTGCAGTGGCACAGTCTTGGCTCACTGCAACCTCCGCCTCCCGGGTTCAAGCAATTCTCC